TAATCACCTTAAATATCCGCTTACATGACCCCTTGTACCGGTACTGCAACTTTAAAAAAAAAAAAAAAAAAAAAAAAAAAAAAAAATTCTTATAAATAATTTATCTATTTTAGTAATTATTTGTATACATTTTATACTGTGTAATATGTGTACATAAAAATTTAATGTACACATGAATTTTACATATTACTTTGTTTATTTCATTTTCATTTTCTTGCATTTTGTTTTAATCGATTGCAAACACGTTTCACTTCTTTCTGATTCTGTGTATATATACGCTGCCTCTATACTACCATTCGAATTGATACTACTAATCATCTAATTCTTATTATTATATCAGCACATCTTTGAAGAAATTATCAAATCTTTTGTTAAAAAACTATACTGCTATATGAAGGTTATTTATAATGTTTTGTTGCCTCTGTTTAGTAGAATCGTCTTCTTTACCTTAATTGTCACTGTTTATTAATTTGTGAAGTTCAGTTTAATATAAATTAGCTATGCTGAAGATAAAAAAATTAGCTCTTTATGCCTTATTTGTTTGATCAAGTCATTCAATTCTTGATATTGTATCATCTAAAATTGACGTATTCTATGCAATTTTTCTCTATATCTCATAATACAATCTGCAAGTTTTTTGTCTCTATTAGCGATCATTTCCTAGATATCTGAGACTTCAATCTGTTTATTTTTTAAGTTCTACTTAATATATATTTGCACTTCTTACAATGTCCTTCATTTTATAGATAAATTTAATGTAAAATATCTTCATCTTAAATGACGTACAAATCTCCTATCTTTATACTATAAAAGATGCTTAAAATATTCTGCTAGTTTCATATTCTTAACATGTATTGAACGAAGATTAGCTTAACTATATAAATATAATATTAAAAAAGCTCTTGGTATGTACCTGGATGTCTGAAATTCGCTTATCAGAACTCCATTGATTTCTGGTCATATTAATGAAGGATTGTTACTTTGTATTTGATCAAGTATATCATTTATGATAACATCTTCTCATTATATTTACAGTAGTGCTAGTACAAACATCCTTGATATTGCTTCATCTTTGTTTTCAATGTCATCTATGTTTTCATCTACCAATTGATCATTTTGAAGATGTAGAAAAATATTAAAGACAGATCCATCATCAAGTAAGGATTGAAGAATTTCATTATCTATAGTTATGTCTTTATAGTAATGATTGTTCTTTTTTAGTCATAATAAGGCTCTAACAACTTTTTTCTTCATACAATAAAATCTCTGAAAGCTGATGATTCATTTTCTGTTTGCTATCTTACGACAAGAACTTCCAATGATGATGGCTATCTTAAAAGCTGTTTTGTGAATTCTTGTATGTCTTAAGAAAATTTATTACATTTCTACAATATTCATATTGTTCACTGTGAAGTTTATATATAGATATTATCATAAAAACTTAGGCTATTAACATTTTTTCTATTTCAATGAGATCTCAAAGTTCTTTGATACTTCATTCAGATTCATGTTATTTTTCGCAGAAAACTTTTTTGGTAAATTCACTTATGAGTAACAATATTTTCACATTTTTTCAGAGATTCTTGAAGAACTTGAATGGTATTCGTTCGTTACATTTATCACAAACTTTATAATGTATATTATCCATTTGTTTGCAAAAATCTTTCAGCAAATAATATTTCTTTTTACTGATAGTAGTGGTTAAGATTAGTATAACAGATACTTCTAATTAATTATTATCTCTTTAAGTTCTTTGAACGTTTGGTTCCTCATTGCTGAAATTTATTCTGCATCTATATATCAGTTTAGTTCATTTATAGGTTTGTTTATATTTGCTATTGTTCATTTCTGATTTATTTTCTTACTTGAATATGTTATCACACTTGTGTTCATTTTCACGATTTAGACATTGTTTTCATTCCTCTGTAGTTTTTATTGATTGTTTTTGGATTCTTCTTTCTTTAACGCTTCTAAGACATGTCTCATGATCTTCTTTCATTTTTCTTGATCTTTTTTAGCATTTTCTTTCTCTATCACATGTGAGATATATGTTACGTTAGTCAGCTATTTCATTCATTATACTGTTTCACTTTTGAAGTATCTCTAGGTTAGTATTTTGATTGTTCATTTATAGAATAACTTGGTATGTATATTATTAAGCTATTTTATATAATTGAAACAAACACAATTAAAATCAATATATTCATAAATGTTTTATTATTTCATATAATAACTGAATAATTACATAAATAAATCTATTTTTTTTTTTAGCTAGTTAGTGATCTTTAATATTTATATAAAGTATTAATTTTTCTTTTTAGGTTAACTAAAAATAATTATCTTAATAACTAAAAATAAATTATAATTATGATTACATAAGATTGTACATGCACTATTTTAGCATTGATTGTCATCTACTAATAAATATACTTCACTTAAGCATACATATCAAAAATGGAAAGGTCAATTTATATTATAAATACATTAAATATTTATCTAAATTACAATTCATTATCAGTTATTTGGTTTAAAAATTTAAATCAAATTATACAATAAAGTTAAAACATAAAGAATAGTTATACATTATCTATTATTTATAAGAAATAATCCAACCTTCTCTTTTATTTATGTAAATAAATAAAAATAAGTCTTAAAAATATATATCATTATATAATTCTAAATCTCAATCAATCTCTTTCTCTCTCTCTATATATACATATAAAATAACATATTGCAAAGAAACCCTTATCAGCTAAGTTCTGAATTACCTTGCTTTTTATCAAATTACTTTAACAGTTTATAAAACAAAAGGTATACTTTAGAAATTTTTTTATTGCAACCCATTTTTTTATATGAATTTAATATGTGACAATCATTTTGAAAATCAACCAATCAGGCTTAAGCCCGCTAAGGGAAAGTCAATTTGATACTCATACACATTTTTTCTCTCTCGTAATGAACAAAATGGACGCCGAAAGTGACTTTTTTGAAAAGAAGGTGAGCTTTCAAATATTTATCACCTTTTCTTACCCTGAAAAAAATATTAAATCATATAATTACAGTTTGAAGGTTATGAAACTGCTTTGGATCCCGATAACCTCAGCCTTCTTTCCAACTTGAAATTTCGTAGAACAAAAAAGGATTTCTCTGACAAGCATTGTGAGCACTTTACGATATCTAAGTTCGTGCCGTATGTCGCAAAAATCACAACAGACGAAAAGTGGAAGAAAGCCACTTCCGATCTCAGCGACGGAACGCTAAAGGCAAGTTTATCTATTATATTTAAGCCTTTATTAGTATATAAAGATAGGGAAGGAGTTGGGCTACGTGTCGCAACCACCTAAGTGGCCTGGCTACGCGTCAGGCTAGGAATGGGTTAATATATCCGGTGGGCTCCATCCTAAGTCTGTGTGAAGGCCAAAGGCTTACATGTCTTAGCGTCAAGAGCTACGTGTTCATTCGCAGTCTCTAATGGCCCACTTTTGCCTCCTTCATATTTTGACATAATAATTTTTAACCATTCCTCTCATTCTTCTTAGCTTCAAGCACAAAGTGAAGAAGTAAAATCGTTTTGGATAAGTATTGAAACAGAAAAAATCGAAAAAGAGAATAAATTATTGGAGCTGAAAATAAAGCAAGCTGAAGTATGTGTCCAGCATTGATATTGTGATTGGTGTATATTAAGAAATTAAGTATCAATTTGTGCAAATGCAATAATAACTGTGTTTTTTATGATTTGCAGATTCAATTTTCTGTTGATCGAACTTTGATGGGGAATGAGGCTCATAGAATATTCGACCAGAAAAAAATAGATTATGCCTTGAACTCAAATGAGAATAGTATCGGAAAGCACTCAGCAGATGATGAAGGTATGGAAGATGCACGTTCATACAAACATCGACGTGGAGAAGATGATGAACCACCACGAACCCCAGAAGACCAGGTAGTTGTATTTTTCCATATTAGTCTGCAATAAAAGTTCACTCTCACCTCTCGCATGTACACAGATTACATTCGAAGAAGAGTCCTCTACCTCGGCCATGTCCTACATCCCAGCCAATCCAGTAGAGTCTTTTACTTCAAAAGATCCGGTAATCGATACAAAGGACGAAGACGTATTTAATACGATGTTACGTGAAACATATCTAAAGATACGACAGGATATCCGCAGTTGTCTTTCACAGAAAGATGTAAGTTAATCGTTCTGATTCTGCATTTGTTTTGGAATAATACTGACTATTGTATCCATTTCACTGTTTTAGTGGAATATTGAAGATTACAACGTCTCAAGATCTTTTCGCGATTATCAGATCGCAAATATAGACAAATTGGAAGATAGTGCGATTTTTTGCTTCTCGTCGGATATTGAAGAAATCTTGTAAGTTAGCTCGAATCTGGAAGTCACCCAAAGACGCGATTATCTAATGAAATTTGTATATTGCAGATCTCTTCACTATATCATGTTGATTGATTTAACTAGAATGAAAAGGCCGACATATATAACTGTTGATGAGCGAAGTTGGCGTGCTTCAATTCGTCAACCAGCCCAACCTGATCTGACGAGTTTCTTTGGAGATATCATGAAAAAGTAAGAGTGTTGTACTGCTAGTGCGCAGCAATTAATGATTATCTCATATAACAATCAAAAATAGGTTATAAACGACATCGATGAGCTTCGTTTGAAATTTTACGAAATGTGGGGCAAGTACTGTGATAAAGTGATTTATTCGGACGATGAAAGACGTCTTTTTGAGACGACTCAAATTGTGGCACGCATATTGTAATTATTTTTTTTATTTCTGTTATTTCTTTATTAACTTTTTGTCTAACCTTTCTTTTCTTCCAAGTTATGAGAGGATGCATATGTACCCGGATTCAGGTAAAAATGAAAACGAAGATACCGTTATGCACGAATACATACACGATACTTTCAAGGAAACTTTTCGGGATTCTAATTATGATACGGTTTGGTATGTTCTTTGTAAATTTTAATCATTCATTGTTCCCACTCTTATTTCTTTTAATCTTACTTTTCTCTAATGAGGGCGAATTCCGAAAGTTTATCATCAAAGGATTTCCGCTCCACCTATGGTCGTTCACAAGGAAAAAAACTGATCTAACTATATATAGAATTATCGAAAAAGGAGAACGTGAGGAATCGTGTTTCATTGAAGCAAAACCTTTCTCAGTCACAAGAACAAGTAAAGTTGGCGGATATAACCTTTACAAAGTGGCAATCTTTTGCCAAGGTGGCATAAACAACATATTATTATGTGAAAATGAACCAGGAGTACAGACTTTTGGAGGGCATATATGTGGTAAATTTTCTTTTCGCATTTTTCGTGAATACATGTTTTAATTCTCATAAAATATTATAGAAGGGTACATATATTTCTGTATGATGGACCTGGAATACGATGGCATCTATCGTTTCTTTCAACTATCCGAAATCAAGCTCGCCCGAAAGCTTTCAGAATTTAATCTCGTGCGGAAATTAATATTGGAAACGTATTTTTTTAAGGTAAAATCCTTGAAAAGTTATTGTATTTTCCACGATTTTCTCCTCATCTACTTTTTTATTCCTATTCAGTGTCGTATCGATAGTTATTACTCAAATCGAAATAATTACAGTAGCTCTCTTTGTTCGAGTAGATTTACCCGTCATCCAACTGTAACACCTAAGGCGCCTAAAAATTCAATCCCGGACGTTAGTCTGAAGAAACAAAAACCAACAAAAAAAAGAAAAAGCATTTGATTTTTTCTCGAACTTTATGTTTTTTTGATAGTTAATTTTTTTTAAAGTAATTTTTATTGCTATAGTTAGGCCGGACCCAACAAAACGTACACTCCCCTCCAAAAAATATCCGACCACCCGTCGATCATTGCAAATCCTAACATATTAAAATTTGAATTACG